GGGAAAAGAATCTGCCATGCTCGGGGGCTACGCTAGGTGTATCCGCTTTAGCCAATGCTTTTTGTGCTGGTCATGGAGGTGCTCAACCATGCATCTCGTTTGTTGGCTGGATACTCAGGGCTTCCTAACGCCTTTGGGGATCGCGGCATTGCCGTTTAGGGTCAGCCTCTACGCCGACGATGTCATCTTGTTCGTCGCCCCCAGAATTGATGACCTTCTGGTCATAAAGGAGGCGGTGGATTTGTTTGGCTTGGCTTCTGGTCTGTTGTCCAACATGGATAAGAGTGTGGCTACACCAATTGGGTGCTCCGAGCAGGAGATGGACCTGGTGCGGGACGCTCTGTCGTGTAAGGTTTCCCATGTCGCTATCTGGGATTCCTCTCTCCATTTACTGAGTCGGAAGGGCGGATGAACAAAGGCTGGTGGACTCGATTTGCTTCCGAATTCCACCTTTGGAAGGAAAGTTACTAAATGTGGTGGGAGGACGGCCTTGGTCAAGGCTACGCTTTTCGGCGATTCCAGTCCATGGTTATGGTTATTGCGCAGTCTCTCGCCATGGGCACTTGAGCAAATTGACAAGCGGCCTTGCCGCTTTCATTTGGTGTGGTGAGCGGACAATTAGTGCGGGAAGTGTAAGATGGCACGCAAAACAGTGTAAAAACCACGCGACCTCGAAGGAATCTGGGCGTCGTTGATCTTGGCGTGTCGGGTGTCGCTACCGAGAGCTCATTTGGAGTGGAAATGTCGGGTGGACCACAATCTGTGTTGGAGCAGCCTGCACAAGAGCAAGGAGAAGATGGTGGTTGCGGTTTTCAAGGCGGCAACGGTGTCCGTCCTTGGCTCCGGAGAATCAACTTATTTCTGGACAGACAATTGGCTTGATGGCTCAAGCATTCAATCGTTGGCACCGGCGCTCTTTCAGGCCATGTCAGCTAGACGGCGGAGGGCGGTTGTCAATGAGGCACTTCCGGGCAATGCATGGGTGCGCCATATCACGAGGAGGCGCTACGGTTTTAGGTCATCAACGAGTTCATGCTAGTGTGGCAACGAGTACAGCAGGTTCAGCTGGCGCCTGGTACTCTAGATGTTTTCCGGTGGAGGTTCATGGCCGATGGTGCCTACTCCTTGGCGTCGGCATATGGTGCTATGTTTATTGGTTCATCAAGGCCGCTTGGAGCTAGGCAGATTTGGAAAACCTCGGCACCACCAAGAGTTCGCCTCTTTTTTTGGTTGGTGATGCATGGGAGATGCTGGACTGCGGAACGGCAGTTCCGCCATAGCCTTCAGGATTCCAGTATTTGTGTTAATTGTGACCAGCTTCCGGAGACTATGGACCACATCATATTGGGCTGTGTTTACAGCAGGGAGGTTTGGAGCATGCTGCTGACCAGGCTCCATCTTCAGGAGGTGGTGCTCGTGCATGAGGAGGATGTGATAGTCTGGTGGCTGCGTAACAGGAAGCTCGTTGCCAAGCAGGTGCGCAAAGGCTTCGACTCGCTCTTCTTCCTCGTCGGCTGGAGGCTATGGAAGGAGAGGAATGCACGGTCATTCAATGGAGTTTCAACAAACGTGGGGGGTCTGGCGTCTGTGATTTTGGGCGAGGCAGAGGAATGGTGTTTAGCAGGGTTCAAGCACCTGCTGTCTTTGCTTACCCTGCTGTAGTTCCGGTAGCCGTTCTGTCGTTTGTTGCTTAGAACGTAAATCACAATCGCTTGCTGCCCTTGGCCGTCGTGCATCGGTAATCAGTGGATTACCATTGCCTTTGCTGTAATGTAATTTGCACTATCTACTCTGCTTAATGAATCGCGTGCAAAGTGCACGTTCGAGATTTTTTTTTTGTGTAAAGTTTAGTCAGGTTTATTAAAAAAATCAATATATGTAACACAAAAACAGGTACATCATGAAAATATATCGCAAATCTAATTACCCTTATTTGGTATGGTAATATTGAATACTTTGATAATTTAAAAAAAAATTGGTCAGACCAAAATGATTTGATATTCTAAAATTTCATCCTTTTTGGACACACAGATTTTACCACCACATTCCATAAAATTCAAAACAACTGTCCGGAGTTTCCTCTTCACTACATGGTCTGCAAGACACTACCGCATAAGGCCCCGTTCGTTTGGCAGGGAATCACCCACCGAAACTAATCCTGCCAGGAATACTACAATAATTTATATAGCAAACTGTCACCAGTATTGAATCCTGTCAGGAATAGAGCTAAACGAACGAGCCCTAAACGATTTTTGAAGGAGGCCAAATAGAATTTTCAGAGGCGAAACCAACAACAAAATGTCCGCCTCTGGAAATCGGTAAAAGAAAAATAAAAGGCCGCGAACTCGACGCCGAGCCCGCTATGAAGGGAGCCTGCCGTCGAGCACGCTGTCCTCTGCCCGCCACATCCGGCTTTCCTCTAAATCTGCTAAGCCGGCTCCGCCGGGCGCGCTATGGCACCTCGATCCGCTTTGGCCGTCGGCTTTGAGGGAGGGGTCAGGGGAGGGGCGGTGAGGGAGAGGGAGGCTGAAGAAGGGGCGGGTTCGAGCGCCATTGCCGGAGGGACTGAGGGAGGCTGGCCACAAGCGCTCGCTCCTCGCAGTCGCAGCCATGGTATCGAGGAGGGCCCCGGCGGTTCTGCAGCCGTGGCCCGTGGCGGCCGCCGGCGTCGGGGGTCCTCGGGCCGGGGCTTCTTCGACCCGTGCCAGGAACCGAGGAGGGAGCTGGGATGCGTCACGCCTGCGTGTACATGATTTCAGGGATCTCTAGTTCTCTACCCCGTACCGAAGGAGCAATGGTCGCTCCGTCAAATCGTCAATGGTGACTGACTATGCATAACTTGTGTTCTCAGTGCGCAGTCGTGAATTGCGGTTGTGTGGAAAGATGGCAAGACGCGCGCGTGTGATGTTCAGCAGAGAAAGCAAAGCAGATGCAGAGCACATGCTGACATGACAAAGGAAAGGATCCATTCACAATTTCTTCTCGGAAAGATGAATAATCAGTTCAGAGCTCACAATTTGGGACCGAATCAGAATCACAGGCGCAGCAGATCGAGCAGGGCAAGTGCTGTTGTCTCCGTGCCGGCCGGATGCTGCTTCGTTCCTTCTCCCCGACGCACGTCAGAAGCTCGGATGGCTGTCATCCTACGGCAGTGCACCCCCACCGCAGGGCACGGCACGTCATTCTGAGTCAGATGCCCGATGGCAAGGCTCCGTGCGATGCGATCGCAAAATGGCGACACAACACAATTCACAGCGCGTGCGGTGCGAGCCAGCCCAGCATGAACTGCATGAACTGAGAGACGGGGAGGAGTTGAACAAAACTTGGGCTCGTACGCGCCGCCGCGTCTTCAGTCAGTCTGTCCAAACGATGACCCGGCCACTGGTACAAAAGGAAGAAGCCTTCGCCTTTCACCAGCAGCCATATATCAACTCTTGTGCTCGCTTTGTCCCCCTCTCCGCGCGCGGAAGGTCGTTCGAATTCACTTGGCCGACCGACGATATTCCACGCTGACAAAGCTGGGCTTGGGCGCCCTAACCTTCAACTCGGCGCTCGCCGTCTACAACTCCTGGGGCGACGCCAGCTCCGTGGGATTATTCGTGCTGCTCGCGGACACCGCGCTCGGGCTCCTCTTCCTCTGCCTCTGCCTCTGCCTCCGTGACTTCGAGCAGACCGGCAGAGGCAGGGACACCAAGACCAAGGCCGCGGTGTGACTTCGACCATCCACGCCACCACCTAGCTATTCCCGTTGCCGCCCTGTCCAACCTGGCCATCTCATCCCGCCGCCTCCCTTGCTCACGTCCAGATATCCCTGCTGCCATCAACTCACCACTGCACCACCCCTCGGCCCTCAGCCATCCCCGCAGCTTTTGAAAAAGCAAGTTTAGGTCCGCCCGTTTGATTGGCTTTCTTATTTTTGGCAGCAGAAACACACTTTTTAAAAGCTAGCTGAACCAAAAATAGACACGGTCACTTAGGGGGTGTCGAGGGTGTTTGGTTTCTCCTCCTAAATCTGTCCCATCGGATATTTGACAAATGCATGGAGTATTAAATATAGACTAATTACGAAACTAATTGCATAATTTGCGACTAATTTATGAGATGAATCTTTTAAGCCTAATTAGTTCATGGTTTGACAATATAGTGCAACAGTAAATATGTGCTAATGATGGATTAATTAGGCTTAATAAATTCGTCTCGTGGAGTACTGACGGATTCTGTAATTTGTTTTTTTATTAGTATTCGAACACCCCATGTGACACCCTCACGTGACACCTCCTAAATTTTAGTCACCGGATCCAAACACCCCCTTAGAGGTTCTCATAGGGGTAGGTACTTGGGGTGACTTCATCGATCTCTAAATTTACTGCTCTAACTCAGTTTTTTGAGGTGTTTAAAGGGATATGATATGATATTTACCGGTCCTAACATAGTCTCCAGGAGATTCTCATAATGTAGAGAAAGAGTATGCATGCGTGTTTGTAGCGTCTGTACTAAGTTTGGAAAAAAGAGTCCTACAGAGTTTGGATTCTTGTAGATGTTGAACGGTAACGAAGTGAAATGAAATATTGGTGGTGTCTAAAGCCTTAATAGTTTTCAGGTTGGTTCATGCTTGCTTTTTTGCCTTCTTTGTTTTTTTTAAAAAAAAAAAAGAAAAACGAGCTGATGGCCTAGTCGGCGTGGCCACCTCCGCCGGGAGGGCTTCTTTCGGCCATCATCCGTGGTGCACTACAATCTTGTTGGCTCGTTTTTAGACTTCCCCGAGTGCTGACGACTTGTGTTGCGTGGGAAGATCAATTTCTCCGTGGCGGCAGCATGAAGCGTAAAAAGCGGAGCAACGAAGGCCTGGTGGTAGCTTGAAGTGCGTGGCCCAAAGCCACGGCACCAACTTGTGTAGCAGCAGGGCCCGTGTCGCCGTCCGGCACTCCGGCCGGATGTACTCCACTCCACTCCACTCCACCTATATATACTTCCGTGGGGGTTCCTCCAGCTAATCCGGAATGTCCGTGCTCATCAGGGATCATGGCAATCGCGAGCAACACTGGCTGTGGCTCCACAGTTGGTGCGCAGCACGGCAGCTAGCACCCACCCGCATAGTGGAAGCCCCGTCGCTACGTAAGGACCCATGTGGCAGCTGCCTGTGAGATAGCGTGACCACGTCAGAGCGCCTGCCATGCCGCGCCAACGGCGAGGAGCTCTCGTGCAGGGCAGCACGATCCGACTTGATCTCCGCTACCAAATATAAAAATCGTCAGCGTACGTGGTGTCGATTGCGCAAATGAGCGTGTAAACATGTCATCAACTTTGTTTTCTTTACTGCGCCCAACATCAGATCGCGTCCATACCCGCGAACCAGGCATATAAACTCAGGTTTCTGCTCGGCGGTTCAGCACAATCGGTTCTGCTCCTATCCCTGATCTCGCCACCCTGACCAAGCTAGGCTTGGGCGCCCTGACCTTCAACACGGCACTCGCCATCTACAACTCCTGGGGCGACGCCGGCTCCGTGGCGTTCGTGCTCGCCGCGGACGCCGCGCTCGTGCTGCTCTTCCTCTGCTTCCGTGAGTTTGAGCGGGGCGGCAGGGGCAGGGATGCCAAGATCAAGGCCGCCGTTCGCGACCATGTTCGCCTCGAGGGTGGCGCCAGTCATGCCGCCGCCAGTGGTCTGGCTCTTGGCCGTCGCCACGGCCGCAGGAGGGTTCTGGGCGTTTTTTCTTAATGCCCGTACGTCGCAACGGAACCCATAATACCAGGATAATATGGAGTATGCCGAAGCACCGAGGTTTTCTTTACCCACTTCGTTCGCAAGTGTGTATAAACATATCAACTTCTTTACTGCGCGCGCGGGCCACTTCACCCAGAATCCTCTATAAAAAGGCACCCGCTGCCATTCCTTCGCCGCACATCCTGCAGAACAGTTAGCCAACGATATTCCACCGCACTCTTGTGCTCTCTTTGTCTCCCTCCGCGCGCAGAAGATCGTTCGTCTTGACATGGCCGAGGCCGACCAAGGATATTCCACATTTCCACCCTGACCAAGCTAGGCTTGGGCGCCCTGACCTTCAACTCGGCACTAGCCATCTACAACTCCTGGGGCGACGCCGGCTCCGTGGCGTTCGTGCTCGCCGCGGACGCCGCGTTCGTGCTGCTCTTCCTCTGCCTCCGTGAGTTTGAGCGGGGCGGCAGGGGCAGGGATGCCAAGATCAAGGCCGCCGTGTGGGCGCTCACCACGCTGCTGACGGCCATGTTCGCCTCGAGGGTGGCGCCGCTCATGCCGCCGCCGGTGGCCGCGGTGGTCTGGCTCTTGGCCGTCGCCACGGCCGCAGGAGGGTTCTGGGCGTTTTTCCTTAATTGATGCTTTTGCGAGTCGATCAGTCTGCGTCTCGCTGGCGGGCGTGTTCATTTCCTTTTTCGCTTCCTGCACTTTCTTGTACTGTTTCCCAGTTCGTCACTTTGAATAAAGATGGCCGATAAGCCGGCTAAAGCTGATTTGTTATACGAGAAAAATACTGTAGATTCTAACTGATAAGCCGGCTGATAAGTTCAAGCAAACAGGCTAAAAATCTGCCTTCGAGTTTGCGCTGCTGGCAGAGAGTGGTCCTCTGCTTCTACCCCGTTGACCACCGCTCGTAGTCGCCTCAGCGTGTGCTTGATTTGAGACAGGGTAGGACGGAACGGTCTTGTCCCTGATTTTTTAGGTGGACAAACCTGTTCTGGGGCGTTTGGTTGAGATATCTTTGGTTTATTCGGTAGAATATGGCCGTGATTTATGGTGCCGAGCCTTGGTCATGTTAACGCCACGTCGACAGCCACGTAATTCGTAGCCTCCAACCTCATGACGTCGAGACGTGTTACCCCGGTGATGTAGGGCATGGCGTTGAGAAAAAGATCCAAAATTGAATTTACGTCGTCCAGTGGTGTAAACGTGAATTTTGACCCAAAAAAGCCAAATTGCAACAACAAAAAATCGGCCGAATAGGGGGTATATTCCACTCGAAAATGGTCGCATCCCTAACAGTCCTCAAACATCTTAAAAATAGGATCAATTCATTCCATCGTCCTCTATTCGTCCATCTCTAGAACCAAACACATACTAAACGCCGTTCATAGAATGAACCAAATCATATCATATGGCCATATGGGAGTTGAGCTAGAATTGCGGTCGGCTTGATATGAATAGGTACGCGGTTGGTGGACGGTGGCGGCGACGTGGCGCCGCTTCGGTCAGTCGGCTGGCTGTGCCTTTGCACACGTATGGGGCTTTGAATTTGAACACTGCTGCGTTACGATATATAAACGTATGCTAGCGCCAAGGCACACGTTGCACGTGTGTGCATCCATTGGATCAGCATCTAGTTGTTATCATAGGTAGTTTTCAAGTTTGTATAGGTTGGTTGGTTTATACATGATACGTTGCTTCGAATTAAAGGAAAAAAAACTGGGTTCTTTGCCTTCCAATACAAGCAAAGGTAGGTAGCGTGTGCGTGTTCCCCGTGATCCCGTCTCTCTCTCTCGTCACGCTTTCATTCACGACCTTCACACGAGTCACGAGCAGACAATCTTGTACACCTGCGTGCAAGCTGTCGTCTTAGAATGGAGGACCAGAGGCAGAGAGTCGCCGGCGTGGACGCCGCAGGCGGCGGCCTCGGCGGCGCGGGAGCCGTCCTCCGCACCGCCACCTGCGCCGCAGCCACGTACAGGGCGGCGGCGGCAGGGGACGTCGCCTCCGTAGCGTTCGTGATCGTCAGCTACGGCGCTCTCCTGCTAATGCTCCGCTTCCTTCGCGCCTACGAGGTCTTCCCGCCGGAGGCGGCTGTCCGTAGGGAAGGGCTCAGGCGCAGGGTCTGGGCGCTCTGCACGCTGCTCACCGCCATGTTCGCCTGGAAGGTTGCCGGCGTGATGACGTGGCCCGTCGCGCTGGGCGTCTGGGCCGCGGCGGCCGTGACGTCTGCGGCTGGCTTCGTTCTCATGTTTCGTCAGCGTCGACCCTGATGAGCACTGAATCTCAGATTCCGTGTTTGGAAAATATTTCAGGCACGTACACTATGCAGTGATCATTTGAGCGCAAACACATATACACGACCCTATTGATCACGACCATTTTCATTTTGATCGTTCTCACTCAGTTTCATTCGTATGAAACTGAATATCGTACTAGTTTGCTTTGGATACTAATTCGGATCTTTCTTTCAAAAAAAGAAGGGGAAAAAAACGAATGGGTTGCAGGGTATTTGGTACGGCGCGGCATCGATGGATGTGTAACCTTTAAGCTCCAAGCCTCCAACAATAATTAGGGAGTGTTTAGATGCTTTTGGAATGGTAAAATCTTTGGTCCTAATTTTTTGCTGTAAAACTTTTGTCATTCAAACTTTTGGTATTTGGTGTTTAGATGCATGGCAAAACTTTAGCCATGCAGACATAGCACGCGCTCTCCAGACGTTTTTTTGCCTAGTTTTAGGTCTCTTGGATCACAAATGTCAAAAGTTTTGCAACCCAAATTTTGTTGTTTTTGCCTATGGTGTTTAGATTCATTTTACCAAAAAATAAGATAAAACAGTAAAAGTTTTGATCAAAATGGGGAACTAAACAGGCTCTCTCAAACTTTGTGGTGGTGTGCTAGTGCTATACTCCTTGACAATTATTTTACTTTTGGCAGGTTACCAAGCACGATGTTGTGAGGATATGATTGAAGGTTTTCCCCTGTGCTGATTGGTCAAGGACATGGTTTGCTAGCTAGTTCACACAGTCAGGATACAGATGTGCAAATATGGCGTGTATTGATATATATTGTGCTTTGGATGTAATACTGAAGATGAGGTACCACGTACACCACTTGTATTGTGCGGGTTCGCTTGTATATTTGCATATGCATTGCTCCTTTATATTGTGAAAAATTCGCTTACTATCTGCGTCGCTCCTATTTTGAATTTTGATGCTTCTAGCCTTGGAATATAAAACACTTCAACTAGCAGGTCATGTTTGAAAAAAAAAACTGAACTTCTTTCCAGCGGTGGAAAGTGGATATAAAACACTTCACATGAGCCAGCAATATATTAAGAATGAAAGTGGATCGGGTCAATTGATTTGGTAGTTGATCCCATTCAAAATAACAAGTTCCATATTCGCTTGGCTGATAAGCCATGGCTGAAAATACTGTTGGCTGATTTGTTGCGAGAGAAAAATATTATTCATTGACTGAAAAAATACGGCTTATAATCCAAGCGAATAGGACGAAGACCTCTGAGTCACGGTAGCCAGCCTCATCAAAGTTCAAAATCGCGATGTGCGCCATACATGACATTTGAAGCGGCATTAGGTTGGAGTAAACTGCCTTGAACCCCATCTAAGGAAGAAAAACAACTGATTTTGATAATTGGAAGAGCTAAGACAGCCGGTTTTCTAGTTTAACGAGGTAAATGGAGCTAGATAGTTAAGAATGTCAGGAGGAAAATTTTCTTTATTTATTATCTCTGACGGTGTGACGGTGAGTCGGTGGCCCTCCTCTACCTCCACAGTGGGACCTGTGGGCTGTGGCGTATGCGCGTGGAGGCCCAAAGGTTCCAGCTGGATTCATCATTGTGTGCGACGCGAATTTTTAACAGATGGCCCAGAGCTTTCGGTGGAGGGTGGACTGGCCCAGTGAGGGAAATGATATATGTCCATAAGTCGCGTGCCTCCAATGGACCGCACAAACGTCGGACGGCTTTTTCACTCCGCCGCTTGCTCCCACCCGCATGTATATTTTTTATAAAAAAAACTTATCCCTTCGCTTCCTCCTCCCTATCCTTACCCCTTCCGTGCTCCTCATCACCTGCCACAGCGCACCAACGCCCAGCGTCCTTCCCCACCCCGGCGTCCTCACCGGGAGCCCTCAATGCTCGCGAATCCGACGACCCTATCCCCCACCTCGGCGAGATCCATGGAGCACGAGCGAGATCCACGCTCCACCAGCGAGATCCATGGAGGTGGCGCGGCGGTGTTGCAGGGGAGTGGGCGGCTCTCCCTTACCCGGCGCGGTGTCCTCGCTACCCCGGCAACCGAGCTTCCCCACCCAGGCGGCCATGGCGCTCCCCGCCCCCCCATCCCCCACCGTCGCCGTCGAGCCAAGCCCGGTGCCGGTGGCGCAGGTGGTGGTGGTGGTGGTGGTGCTCGCAGGCGTCGCTGGTGCTAATGCTGGGTGCTGCTCCCGCGCAGCCGCTCGCTGCCGGCCCCCACCCCGTCGACCGGAATCGACCGGCCCAGGCTTCTCCCCCCTATGTTACAAATGTATGTTTCAATTATTTCAGATGTTTCAGAGGCATGTTGCAAGCCTTTGTTCAAACTATTTCATCTGTTTTCAGACGTATGTTGCAAGCGTTTTGATCTGGATGTTGTATATGTTTTCACACATATGTTGCAACAGTATGTTCCAAAATGTTTCATCTGTTTCAGTCTTTTGTTGCAGCAAGTGTTTTCATGTTGCAAGTTCAAGTGTTCTATCTGGATGTTGCATATGTATTCACACATATGTTGCAGATGTATATTTCAGATGTTTCATCTGTTTCAGACGTATGTTGCATTCAAGTGTTTCATGTTGCATATGCTTCTTCTTTGTTCGTAGAGAGTAAGGCGCGCGGGGAATTGGGCATGGCGAGCCGGTGGCAGCGGGGCGTGGCATGCGGTCTGCGCTTGATGGGGCAATCGGCAATCGGGGCATGATGGGCGGGGTGCGCTGCTGTGGGGCGGGGCGAACAAATATATGGGGATGGCGGCGGGGTGCGCCTGTGGCGGGGCGAACGGATGCGGATGGGGCAGGTTCGTGGATGGGGGCGGGTCAGGCGTCGGACCAGGCTTGTTAGGTGTGGGGGCGGGCATCCGATAGAATTCATCCCTACATGGGCGCTAGCATTTCCCCCAAGTAAGCACACGGCCCTCGCAAACAATCTCTAGTTCTCCACCAACTCCGAATCATCCTGCTGCATGCCTTGTGGGCCCGGCCAGTTCCTTAGGGTCCAAGGCACCTGAACTTATATTCTCAGTCAGTCAAGTCAATATCACAACGGAATAGTCAATAGTACCAGCAACACTAAACCCGGAAGCATTCTAGCTCAACGCTACAAGCAAGCAAGCTCGTCGTCTCGAGATCACCAGTCACCGGATGGACCAGAGACGCGCCGGTGCCGGGCGCGCGCGTACGGCGGGATCGCCGTCCTCCTGACCGCGACCTGCGGCGCGGCCATCCACAGGGCGGCAGCCGCCGGCGACGTCGCCTCCGTGGCTTTCGTTGCCATCAGCTACGCTGCTCTGCTGCTGCTGCACCGCACTCTTGGCGCCTTCTAGACCGCGATCGAGGCGCCGGAAGATGCCGCCGCTGCC